AAGATTTCAACATACATCTCCATTACAAAAATGGTCGAGGAACCAACGATTATGGATATGGGTGCCCTTATTCGTCAACTAGAATAGCAAAATTGCTTAACTATCTCGAAGGTTTTCTGAGATTGATCATCTTATTCTTAGCATATAAATATTAGTTTTACTATTTTAATTAATCCTCCACAGTCCACCTACAGATAACCCACTTACTGTAACCTTATACTATATGGCCTATGTTTAAGGGGATTTTGCTTAAAGCTGGAGATTTTTATCTTTTAATTGTGTTAGGTAATGGGAGACTTTTGAATTTTTTTGCAACAGTGAAGTGCAAGCAAACCTAGCAAGCATTAACAATGTTCCTCTGCTCCTTTTGATGATTTCTTGTTCTCCTTGGAGGACCATTGACATTAATCGCTTTCTTGAAAGATCCTCACGAGGGGGACCCATGGCTAGACTTGGCCCGCTTCCTTGATGGTAGCCGGACCCTTTCACCCCTAAAACCCTTAAAATTTCCACATGTGAAGTGTGAACAGCTTGTGAGTAAAAATACATGGGCTGATAGCAACATGTGATATGCACAATCTCCTTATATATATATATATATATAATGCAATTTCTTGAGCTGGATTCGATTGGTCTTAGTAAATTCCGAATGAGCTTTTTCCATTCTTTAAAATAATTAATTACTTTTTTAAAAAAACTAATTATTTAATTTTATGTTTTTTTTCTATTTTACTTATTTTGATTTAAAAATAGATAAATATCATGAATAGATTATAAAAATAAGATATTTTTTTAAAATAAAATAATATTAAATTAAACGTAATTAATAAATTAAATATAAAAAATTTAAATATAAAAAATTAATTTATTTATTTCTCTATACAAGAGATATTAATTTATAAATTAACTTACTAGTCCAAAGGAGAGTTAGTAAACACACGTGTCAAAGGCTCCAATACAACACATGTGCCTCAGCTGAGACTGAAAGGCAGAAAAGGACAGGGTCACAGGCTCCTATCTCTCTTGTCATTTGTCTTGGTTTGGACGCTACACTACAGTTTATATGGGTGTTTGGTAATGAATTTTTATTGTGTTAAGAATTGTTTTTTTTTATTTTAAAATCTATTTGGTTTTAGAAAACATGAATTTAATATGTTAATGTTGAAAATATATATAAAAAAATAATTGAAAAAACGTCAATTTTATATAGTTTTAGTTCAAAGATATTTTTGCCAAAACAGGTGAACGGCACTATGAAAGACACATTAAGAAGAGAAGATGGCACGTGAACCACTCGCCCTCGCGTGCGAATGACTTTAATCTAAATTTGCCAGCTCTCCCGCAACTTCAGATAATCATTGATGATAAGGGGTGTGGCTGGCCTCGGAGTCACAAACTTCACTCTCGTTTTATTTTTAATATTAATAAAAACCAATAACGCGTCTACGATAATCCACAATGACTATATTGCCCTTTTATTTTCTACCATGAATGTTTTGAAAATATCTTTTTAGTCGTAGCTCGTGGATTTTTCACTACTGTAATTTTAATTTTTCTCACCGTTAAAAAAAAATAGAGATGATTACCAGAAAATTCTTTTAAAAAAATCTTATGTCGAATAAACTTATCAATTTATTCTAAAATCTCTAAAATTCAAAATAATATTTTTTTACCAAAACATTCAATAGTTAACATCTAATTTAACACTAGTTAACTATTGATTCTTTTGGTAAGAAAATTTTTTTATTTTTAGTTTTGAGAGATTTAAAAAATAAATTAATGAATTTTTCAAATAGAAATTTTTTTAGAGGTTTTTTTTTATAGTTTTTATCTAACAATAAACTTATTTTATATTTTTTTAATGAGTTTGATATGTATGTGTGTGTGTGTGTGTATTTTTCATGATCAAGTCAAGTTCTTGTTTTGTTGCATTTGAAAGAAAAAGACATTTTTGAGGTTTCTTGACTTTTAAACACTAACATTCGACTACTTTTTTTTTATTATATTAAAAAATTCCTTATGCTAGAATTTTTTTTTTTACCATTTGTTTCATTAATTATGGGATTAATTTTACTATCTAATAACTATAGCAACCGATGCAGTTTAACTAATTAATATTGATTAAATGAGACTCGATCATTCTCTTGTAATTTAATCAAATAGGTATCACACAAATAAGAAAAATAAAATGCGTATAATTATGAATATTAGTGATTTCTTAAATCGTAATATATTGATAGAAAAAAAAACATCATCGGTAATACTGGTTTTTAATTAATCAAAACTTAACATTTTTTATTAAACAATTAAATTAAATTACAATATGAATGTATAACATAATTTAGTGCATTAATTAAATAAAACACGATCAACCATGATAGAAATACATATTTTAAAAGATAATGGTTTCATTTAAACTAGGGATAATTACCAAAATACCTTCTAAAAAATCTTCAATAAAAAAGTTCGCTATTTTATTTTTAAATCTCCCAAACACAAAATAATATTTTTAAATCTCACAATCCTAAAACAATATTTTTCTTACCAAAACAACCAATATTTAACACTTGAGTTAATTATTAGGTGTTTTTGATAAGAAAAATATTATTTTGGGTTTGAGAGATTTAAAAATAAATTTATGAGTTTTTTAGATAGAATATTTTTTTATAAGGTTTTCTAGTAATTATCTCAAAAAAATAATATTTTTCTATTTTAATTTTACGATATCAAACTAAAAGTTTGTATTGATAACAATTCATGGATATTGTTTAAAAAAATAAATAAAACATACGTGTCTTTTTTTAGAAATAAAAAATGTAACTTAACGTTCTTATTATGGGTATGATTCAAAATTGGATTTGTGTATCTTAAAGTTTTAAAATTTGACAGATGGCAGAATTTATGCATCTCTATATCTTGTATTCTCATCTAGCCTTTCTATTTGGAAATAAGTGTAGTAATTTTTTGTTGTTTCCCATTAATTGCTTCGCGTTGCTAAACATTTTAATCTATAAGATTAAAGTAACAAAATATATTATGTCAATAAATTACATATCAATTGGTATTAAGTCATTTCATTTTTAGGAAATCTTAAATTCAAACTTATATATATATATATATATATATATATATATATAATTGGTTATTTTTCATGCAACACCGACACCGACACCACTGACAGCATCCCGTAGCTGCTGCTAAGACATCGAGGAGGCAATCATATATCTTTTTTTATTATTTTAATAAATATGTAACTAAAAAGCTCTCTAAAATATTTTTCAATATTTATTTCCACTTTTCATCTTTATTCTACACTAATTTTTCTGTGAAAACACGTTAGTAGAAAATAATTTTTCCAAATAAAATGCAAGAGCTATCTTTTAAAAATAATAAATGACAAATAAGTTGAATAATACGGGAACCAAATATAGATTTTGGTTTTTTAAAAGAAAATTTTGAAATTATATATTAAATTGCTTCAAGCTTTTATAGAAAACTACAAAACAATAATAAAAATAATAATAATGAGTAACACACGTTTTTAAGAAGATATTAATAGTAATTAACCTGTTTTCAGTAGGTTTTTTTAAAAAAAAACTTTTTAGGAATTGTGTTAAAAATAGTTATACACAAGTAAATAAGAGCTTAAGTTTTTATTGTTTTATGGAAAATAAGTTGATTTTCCAAAAATATTTTGCATGAAAAATATGAAACATTTTCTTGAAAAATAGGTCATTTTTTAACTGTTTATCTGTGTTTAAGAAATGTAGTTTGAAAATTACTTTATGCTATTTGTTTTGTACGGAAAAGAAAACAAATAAAGCAAACAAAAAAGATAAAGTAAGAGTGTGAAAACAGTGATTCTGCTAATGCAAAAAATATTAAAAGAATAATTTTTTTATTTCATGAATTCCCAGGAGTCTTTTCTCCCAAAGATGACCTTATTTTCCTGCCAATCAAAAGTTACTTTTCCTGATTTCCGTACGTCTGTCAAGCACCCCAAAAATAAAAATAAAAAATAAATGTAAGCCTGTAGCTTCATTCAGTAATTCACATAAAAAAAAAAAAAAAACTATTGTAATTTGTGAGGCAACCAGTCTGATCCACATCTACAGAGAGGGTATTTCAGTCTTTGAGGGAAATTAACAGCCTCTCTGTGCGTATGCCAATTTTAACCTAACTCCTGTACTCTTTTTATTATCCAATCTTGTAACGTTCAAACAATAAAGCAGTACTATTTCTAAAAACAAAATTACAAACCAGACCCCCCAAACCAATGAATAGTTGCAGTTTCGTCCCTTCCATAATTTCCCATTCAGCTCCTCCTCACTCCCACAGCTCCACTCCATCAAAGAAATCACCACTTCCATTTCTTATCCAACCTCACACCTCACTGACAGAGTCCACCTTTTTCCCCGTTAAGCCCCTTCTTGATTTTATGTTTTTTTTTTTTTGGCCTTGAAGCTTTGATTATCCTGAAAAATCGGGTCTTTTTGTTTCTGTCACCCATTTGTTTCTTTTTCTAGAAAGACAGGAAGGAAACTTAACAAATTCTTCAACCATCATCCCCACCTTTCTCTCTGTATATCTCTTACCAGGAAGATCTGTTTTGTGGGTTTTGTCTGTTCAATCTGTCTGAAAAAAACTAGTGCTTTTCTTGGTCCCTCGTGTGTTTTCAATATCATTTTGTTTTTAACTGGTAATTGAAAAGTTTAAAGCTTTGTTTTTTTTTTTTTTCTTTTTTTCTATATCAATTTGGGTTTTTAAATTATTTATTTGGCTGAAGTTGTAAGCTTATGGCACAAAGCGGTCTTCCATTTCTGAACTCATCCGAAGCCAATTCAATTTAAGTTTCAAAATTGACCATTTCTCGTGTTTCCAAGCCATCTGTGGCCTTTTCACATTTGATAAAACAAAAGAAGGGAAAAAAGAGCCTCCTCCATTTATCACCACTTCTTTCTTTATCTTTGTCTTGTTGATCCATCAAAGAAATCTAAAAAATGTACCAAACACACAGCAAGAGAGAATTTGCCATAGAATTCCAACCTCAAATACAGATATTGAGGCCAAGCATCCATTCAAGAAGGGCAAATTTACTAGTCAAATTTCAAGACCTTTATGGGTTTACTGTAGAGGGCAATGTGGATGATGTTAATATATTGAATGAGGTTAGAGAGAAGGTGAGGCAACAAGGGAGGGTTTGGTGGGCTTTGGAGGCAAGCAAAGGTGCTAATTGGTATCTGCAGCCACAGGTTTCTTCGTTAACTGAAGGGATTGCACTCAAATCTTCTCTCAAATTGTCTAATTTAGCCAATGCAATTACTTTGAAGAGGCTTATAAGGAAGGGGATACCCCCTGTGCTTAGGCCTAAGGTTTGGTTTTCTCTCTCTGGTGCTGCGAAGAAGAAGTCTACGGTGCCTGAGAGTTATTACAATGATTTGAGTAAGGCTGTTGAAGGGAAGGTTACAGCAGCAACAAAGCAGATTGATCATGTGAGACTTAATTTATGTTATCCTACAATATGCCAATTTTTTGTTGGTTTTGATTGTCATGATATTAGATTTGATGGTTATGTTGGCTTGATTGATCACACGTGAATCCATTGGCTTATTTTGAATTGCAATGATAGTTGTGGCCATGATGTGAAACTGTTTTGTTGTCCTGCTTAACGTCTGATGTTTTCAATTTACTTGCAATAAGATGAGCTCTGTTGGGGGGTCAGATTTCTTTTGAAAAGATAGCTGTTTGCATCTTAAATTCATCAAATGTTGAAAGTTTCTGTTTAGATTTGTTTGGTTTATTCGGAAGAGTGTTGATTCATTAGATGATAAGGAATTTTGTTTTTAGATTCATATTCTGATAGAATTTGGTGATTTTTTTGTCCCGTAGAGGGCAGAGAAAAAGCAATCCAATTGTATGATTCAGCTTCTTCTTTTTTTTTTTTTTTTATTGGTCAAAAGTGGTAAGAGCATATTTATGATAACTAAATCTGTCCAGAAAGCCGATGTTCCTCCAAAATGATGCTTAAGCAACAAGGTGGAACATTACTAGTACAAGTAAACGCAGGAGTGCTCCTAGAAACCAGTTTAGCAACCACATTTGGCAGTGTGATTACAATTCTATCTTGCATGCTTAAAATAGAGGAATTTTTACAGTTGCTCATCTGCAAAATATATGAGCAATGCTTCAATTTCCAATGGAAGAAGAGCCATGCACAATCTCATTTACCACCTCTAGGCAGTCCCATTTCATCCTCAAATCAGTCCAGCCATCCTTTATCCAGCTTAAAGCCTCCTTCATAGTCTCCGTCACCTATGAACTATGACAGAAGGACAACATATTGCTTTAGCAGAAATCAAATGATCACGAGCATCTCAAATAACAAAACTTAGACCCCCATCTTTTGATTCGCCATTATTTTCTGTTGCAATTTTCAAACTCAAATTATTAGATTCCATTGTTCCAACCAATTACTAATCAAGATATATCATGGTTGAACTTACCGTGTTCATCGAACAGTCTTCCTTTATATGCTTCTTTGATGTCTCTTGTGAAAGACATGTCGTTCTCCTGTCTGAACACATTGAATTGGAGAAAGTAACAACCATTTGGTTGAATGAAAACGTACTTTTGAAGTGTGTTTATTAAAGTACCTAATTACTGTATGTCTTGGAGACAAACAGCTTATACAATGCCGGTTATCAGGTAGAGTTATTAAGGATTGTGTAAATTGTCCATGGAAAGGGATTTAGTCATTGCTTCATTTAATTTGATTTTTTTCAAGTTTATGTTACTTGATTTTTTCACTTAATTTTTTCTTGTTTGCAGGACCTGCCACGGACCTTTCCTGGTCATCCATGGTTGGACACTCCAGAGGGCCATGCTGCACTCAGACGAGTTCTTGTTGGATATTCTTTCCGTGATTCAGATGTTGGCTATTGCCAGGTAGGTTCTCTATTGGGCTGACGTTGTTTAATTACGAAAGGTACAAATATGCAATTACTGAGAAAGTTAAATGAAGCAATTCAGAAGTTCTTCCACATTTCATGTTGCGCACTTCATTTGGTCAATAACAGTGCCCTTCCATTAGTTTTTGTACTTCTAGAAGCACAACAGCATAAGCTTGGCCTGGAATTCTGCCATATGGATTTGGCAACAGAGCAAGATAAATTGTGATGTTATTTTACAGCTTAGTAAATTCAGAGTTATATTCAGACTTCTTGTTTCATAGTCAAATTATGACTGCACCTTGCTATAGTATTTTATCAGTGTACTGAGCTGATACTACATTTACTCTTTATGCTTAGTCTCCATTGCCTTTTGTTTTCCTATGAGTATAACTTCCAGATCAAATGAATCCTGATATTTACAATTTGCTCCTGGTTTCCTTGATAGATGTTCAAATGTGTAGTATCATGTTCATCTGTGTTGGTATTATTTCCTAATCATCACATTATCTGATCTTACCCAAATCTTCGTCATGATCATTTTGTAAAACATGAATGGTTTCCTTGTCATCAAGGAAGAAATCTCCATTTGTATTCCCATGCTGGAATCATTGCTTCAATATAGTCTGGCATAGCATATGTATCTTCCTGGAGAATTCATTTGAGGAACCAAAAATGGTGCTGATAGGTTTGTCTACCAGCTAGGCACGTACTGATTTCATTTTTGAATTGGTCATAGTTTAATTTCCTACTCTTAAACTATATAAAGTCTAATTTCATAAAAATAATTATCCTTGGAACAGGGCTTAAATTATGTTGCAGCACTGTTGTTACTTGTGATGAAAACGGAGGAAGATGCTTTTTGGATGCTGGCAGTTCTTCTGGAGAATGTCTTAGTGAGTGACTGCTACACAAATAATTTGTCAGGATGCCATGTTGAACAAAGAGTTTTCCAGGATTTCCTTGCTAAAAAGTGCCCAAGGTATTTTCCTTTTGATGACTTGGCTAGTTTGGCTTTTTAATGGCTGTCAATTTGCTAAGAAATTGAGAACAAGAACAATGCAGAATAGCGGCTCATTTGGAAGAACTAGAGTTTGATGTCTCCCTTGTTGCCACTGAATGGTTTCTATGCCTCTTCTCTAAGAGCTTGCCTTCAGAGGTTGGATTGCTTCTCTCTCTCTCTCTCTCTCACACACACACAAACACACACACACACACACACACACACACACACTCACTCACACACACTTTTTCCTGAGTAGAAAGATCCTGATGTTTTCATTGATGACTCACCAATTTTTTCCTTGTGGTGCTACTTTCCAGACAACTCTGCGGGTGTGGGATGTCCTTTTCTATGAGGGGGCAAAGGTTCTGTTTCATGTAGCTTTGGCCATATTCAAGGTGCTAATGCATTTGCGCTGTGCTCTTTGTGCTGTTTGACAAGCTTATGAGTTTCTTGAACATCAATTATTTCAAAATATAAAAATTAACAATAAGTTGGGGTTTGTGATTTTCAGATGAAGGAAGAGGAGCTGCTTCTAACTCACCATGTTGGTGATGTCATTAATATATTACATAAAACAACACACCACCTCTTTGATCCTGATGAATTATTGACGGTAAGACAGTTTCCTTGCTGGCCCTGCTCCTTTAAGTAGTTTTCAATTGATTGTTGGATCTTACATTTTCCACGCATTTTTTTCACGAGGAAAAGGAGAATCAGAACTAGTCAGAACATGTTATACAGTGAATGTTGGTGGATGACAAACCTTAATTTAAGGTTTAATTGATAATCAAAGAATGACGGGGATTCTGCTTCTCTTAATTTAGCACCAACCTGACTTGCCAAACAACCCAATAGATTATTCATTAGTTTCTCAAGCAATGAGCATACTATTGGTTCAAGAGCTGATAGATTGTTTTCCGTCCATGCGGTGTCCTTTAACCCCTTTTGCAAGGATCTTTCCCATCTTCTTGCCCTCTTCTGTTTTGTAGTGCAAATCACCTGATTCATTATAGCATTATTAGTTTCTCAAGCCATGAGCATAAAATTGGTCAAAGAGCTGATGGATTATTTTCCCTCTATTTGTTGTGTATGAAAACCCCCTTTGCAAGGATCTGTTCCCATCTTCTTGTCCTATTCTGTTCTATAATGTCCATCACGTATATCATTATAATAATGGTGACTAGTAAGTTACCGAGGCACTAACAAACAATTTATTACTTTGAATGCAACTTCCTCCAATTCATAATAAGAAAAAGGTACATTGAAACTTCTCCTATCTAAATCTTGCAGGTGGCATTTGATAAGATAGGTTCAATGACAACCAACACTATATCAAAGCAAAGGAAAAAGCAGGAACCAGCAGTAATGGCAGAGCTTGATCAAAGATTGAGAAGACTAAACTCAATCAAAATGGATGATGAGAAATAGCAGTACTTGAACAACTTGATCAAAAATTGTTATATACATGTAACACATCTTAGAAGGGATTCGTTGCCCCTGGGGAGAATATTTATTAATTCCCCTTGTCTCTGCAAGGGAAGGACAGTAAACAGTATGTGTTGTTGTTTTTAAGGATGTGGTAGGTGGCTGAATGTAAATTTGGGCTTGTTTTGACGCAAGCATTTAAATTAAAATGCAAGTCAGGCATTGCTGGCTTTTTACCGCCCTGCAACTTTGAAATCTCATCTGAAACATTTCAGTAGTGTAATATCAAACTGCTTGGAACAAAATCTCAGTCACAGTAAAAGGCTAAAGGTCTGTTAATCACATTGCAGTTTGTTAGAAAACCACCTTAATTAAGCTATGGAAGCCCAATTAATGGATCGGCTCAAATGAGGGTCTCACTGTGTTCTGCCGATGAATTGCCTCGATTGCTGTGTAATAACTAGAGCTAAATACTTACAAAACATCCGTGCTAATAAGGGAGGAACTATTCTTGGATGGTAGACGCTAACTGTTCTGTTCAACGATAAGAGATGAAACAGCTTGGTAAATTATGTCCAAGCCAGGCTTATGTGCCCATAGTTTTAAATAGTTTTAAATAGCAATGGTGATCGAAAAAATTATTACGATCACGAATCGTAATAATAAAATAACAATCGTAACAATTAATATCGTAAATTTATTAATAATTGTTAATAAGTTTATTCTAATTTATATATTTTTAACAGTTTTACTAATTAAGTATACTAATAAGTAATAATATTTTTAATAGTTTAATATCATATAATAATAATTGAATTTATTATAAAAAATAATTAATAACACTTCTAATAGATAAATATCACAAAAAAAAATAAAATATATTACAATTTCAATAAACATATTACAGAATTTTTATCTTTAAAATGATCGTAATAGAGAATCATAATAGTAGTTGTGATTTTTGTCTATCAAAGTTACAACAATAACTAATTTTGAAAAACAAAGTAAAAATAATATAAAATTAAAAATAATAATAAGTTTTTAAAATAATAAAGACCACCTAATTTATTTTCTCAAAATAAAAGGACTAATTTACAATTTATTCAATTAAAGCAAGTGATTAAATCATACATTAATCCATTCCAACTTCAAGCTCGACTAGTCCGTTGATATAGTCTATCATTTTAATAACATGCTTTCAACGTTGGAACCCTTATCCATTATGGTTTTAAAGAGCTTCCTTGCTATCTCATAGAGCTCATGTTTAGTATTTTCTTCAAATAAGCTTTTGAGCTTTGCTATAATGTCAAAAGCTTGTAAGCTTATGCATTGGTGCTTATGCTTCAATGTGATAACAGCAAGTATAATGCTGGCATTCAATATCAACAATCATATCCTGTAAGAAAAATCCCCCAATCATATCCTGTATTCCATATCAACAATAAACTTAGATTTCTTTGGTGTCTGAACATATTCTGGCATTCCAACAAAGGGGAGGGAAATAATGATAAAGTGTAAGGGACAAAAAAGACATAACATGCAAAGCAATAGAGTTGTCCATAAGTACTGACCTCATGAAAAGCCAAGCCTGATTGACATTTCCCAACCACAGTAATAAAAGACTGTTCAAAAGATCACTCGTCAAGATAGTACTTCATCGATCAATTGCACAAAACAAAATTCATCTCAAGATTTACTTGCACGTTAAATTTGATAACGCAACAAGGATGGTCAGTTTATCCCGAAAAGAAAAGAACAGGAGTTGTTCAATGTCAAACTCACAACAAAAGCTGCTAATAATTGAGATCGACTAGCTATAAATTATCCTAACTTGGTCAAGATGATTAGTACAAGACCAGCAATAAAATATGATTAACAATAAGGCTGTGAGACAAGCAAAATACTGTATCAGACTAAAGCAACAAAATATGATCATTCTTACAAATCAAACATTTTCATTTCCATCGAGCAATAAATTAAATAACCAAATGTCACACTATTTCCGCTTTAAACATTATTCTAGTGAATGCTAATAAATCTATAATCACAGCAGCAAATGCACTGAACAGTAAAGCCAGCAAAATTATAATGGGACGCGATGCTGCTGCCAGGTCATAACCATATATATATAATAGCATCAAAATTCACAATTATTATTAATATATTTACATACTTTCACTTATAAATCGAAAATAAAAAAGAAATTCCTAAATCATATATGACATCCAAAAAAAAAAACTATAACGCAACAGATTATTAAACAAAACAACAGTAACAATAATACTCTGCTGGTCTGCCCTTCCTTATGAATTAAAAACCGCGCGCCTTTAACAAATTACACACACAAATATGTATATATAAACCGAAAAGGCATTCTCGTCATTTCATTTTACAAAAATCGAAAAACAAAACCTCTGCTTAATTTTTTTTTTTAAAACGAAACATAAACAAAATGCACCAAAAACAAACACTAAAAATCTCTACTCTTTTCCAGAACAAAACAGAGCAATGCTGATATTTACTTACTGGAGAGTTTCTCACATTTTAGTAAGTTTACTAGACTGTGTATGATGGGAGTGCAATTTGTTCAACTTCTTTCGAATTGTAGGAGATTTCGGTTAAAGTTGTCATAGTAAACTACAGAAAGTGAAATTTTGGCAATGAGAAGAAAGCAGCGTTTGGATTTGCTCCAAAATAAATAAGAATATGTGTTTTCGTTTTTGCATAGGAAGGTTTCGAGTAATTCTATATTACTCATAAAGTGACTATCGTAAGCAACTTAGCAAAAGAGAGAGAGAAAAAAGAGAGAGAGAGAGAGAAAGATAGATTAAAAAAAAAAAATTGCTTTTGAGTATTTTAAAATTTATGAGAAGATCTCTTTCTGCACGGAACAAATAGCAGGGTGACTGGCTGGAATGCTAACTGTTTCTGCCATTTGGGCAAGTGCTGTAATATTTTAAAATTTCAATAGAGGCATGCTATTTTGTAAACGGTATCAGTTGGTATTGTGGACTCTTCTTCATCTAGCCGTCCAGTTAGTAATCGACTAATGCTGTAGGCACCACGTGTCGCGTCGTTTTTAAGAAATGAAGGATGTGATTGTAACACGATGCCTTCCGGCCCTAGGCATTGTAGTTCTGGCTGTACCGCTTAAAATAAGACTTTGATTATTCCAAATATCGTCTCTCTGAATGTATAGTTCATGGTAAAAATAATCACTACAATTAGGTATAATTTAATAATTCGACATTTGATTTTTTTTTTTCGGTGGAGTAGATTCGATTTTCAAATAAATGTGATTTCAATTTATTTGATTATTATTTAATAAAAAATAACTGCCACAGGTTATGTAGGCAAAAAATAAAAAATAAAAAACCCATAAATCTTTTGAAAATTTAAAAAAATGGTGAAATTATTTTTTTAAAATAATTATTTAATTATTTAACTTTTTAGTCTATTTTTATTTTTTTATTATCTAAAATATAAAAATATAGAAGAATTAATGAAAAAAATAAAATGAAATAATATTAAAAATTAAATGTAAACACTGATTAAATAATTATTTTTAAAAATAAAAATTATTAATTTATTTATTCTTAAAAAACAGAAAGACTAATTTATAATTTATTAGGAGAAAAAGATGACGGATTTCTGTTAGCAGGACCCTCCCTATAAAAAAGAAAGAAACATTTCCCTCCACTTCATTCTTTCCCACCTCAGGTAGCTCGCTCGTTCACTCACTCAATCTAATTAAACCCAATAAAACCCCATACATCCGATTGATGCCCCCAAATCGCCCATCATCCGGATGGATGATCGAACCGGGCCTAGACGAAATAGACCTTGACCCGTCCGATTTCACTTCCTCTCTGCCACTCAAAAAGTCCCCAACGGCGACGTTTTCCAAGCCTCCCGTGCTGGTGACGTCGAACGCCTCAAGTACTTGCTAGAATCGGGCGTTAATGTCAACGCGCGGGACCAGTGGGATTCCGTTGCCTTGTACTATGCTTGCCTCGCCGGACACCTTGATGCCGCCCGCATGTTGCTGGAGAGTGGAGCTATTTGCTCCGAGCACACGTTTGACGGCGACAGGTGTCACTATGCCGCTTTGAATTTGAAGGTCAGGAAGTTATTGAAGGCTTTTGAGGCTAGGCCGCCTCCTTTGGCACCGTTGCAGGCCGCCTTGAGAGACACTTTTTTGAGCTGTGAGGCGAATAGGGTTTATTTGGAAGAGAGTGAGGGTATTTATCATGTTTCAGGTTGGTGTATTAATTTCTTTTTGGATTATTTATTTATGGTAATTTTGATCAAGACTTGTCCCTTTTCATTTTGGATATGACTGTATTTGTTCATTTTTTTGGTGATTTTGTCAACTAAAATACTGTATTCAAATGGTTTGAGCCATGTTTGGTTCGCACCGGGATTGGAAATGGAAATGGGAATAGCGTTCCGGTCCTTTCTTATGCAATGCTGTTTCGTTTGCTAATAGCATGGATAAAGATTCCACAAGAAATCAAATATTTTACTCTTTAAGTGGGGAAGTTTTGCCCCATTTTATTTGGTAGCAAGTATTAACAATCCATTGCGAACAACTTAATTTTTGAAAAAGATAACTTAGTACCATATGTTTTTTTTGGAATTCAAGTATCATACTACATGCTTAAGCTTATTTGGGAGTGGAATTGGAATTCAAGTACTATTATACTATATGCTTAAGCTTTTGGGTTTTGGGGTTTTTGGACATGATATTAGAGCCTCTTTGACCAAGTTCAAATCCCATCACCTTATTCTTCTAATTTAAAATTAAAAATTTCACCAATGAGCTGGCACTCTTGCATAGTAAGAGGGGATGAGGCCTCAAGTTTGAGTCTAACCTTTAGTATAAACTCCAATTAGATTAGAGTGCACTCATATAAAAATTCCCATTCTTGAGTGATCCAAACACGTCCTGAGCATATATCTTTCCATTTGATTTTGGATAAAACATTCTTTTGAGCATCATTACGGTGCCCCATTGCATGCATCTTTAGTGGTGTTTCTCTAGCAGATGTTTGGTGAGAATGAAAAGCTTTATCTTCATAGTTATATTGAGCTGCATTGTTTCTTGGGAGGATGCCTTGACCTCCTGTTTGTGCTTCATCAATCTCTTTTTTATTTGATTCTATCAGGAGAATAAAAAATTTGGGCTGATCACATTAGTAATTTTCTTTCATTGTATTATGTTTTCGAACAATCTTTGTGTAAGATGTTGTGACAATCACTTTTTTTGGACCTATCTCATTTGAGATTTAATTAGATTTATCCTGGTTTTCAACTCACAAGAACCCTTCTCATTGGATTAGGGCTGGTTATGCCCGATTTAGAAAAAGTAGAATGTTAACTTCAGTGGAATTTTATGCATGAGTAAATGGGTTAGAGAATTGAAAGTCAAAAAATGTTTGGATATTTCGGTGAGATTGAGAAATAAATTTCACAAGTGATATGAAGCTATAGAATCTGAATCAATTGAAAGAGATTTGGGCTGAGAAATGGAGAGGTCTCTGGTTCAGAGCTCATGTTTGAGAAATGGGATTGGGTATTTTGATCCTTCAGTTTGTGATGACTTTGTGTTGCGTGTAAAGGTTTATTGAACCCCAAACGACATGTTTTTAAATAACCTCGACTAGTCTTTTTTGTCAATAATCATGAAACCTGCCTTTGTTGAGGTTAACTTTTTGGGAGTAGAAGATCGATGAGCATGAGCTCTTAAGATCCACATGAATTGCTCAGAATTGGCTTACCTTTTGTGAAGGTTTTGTTTCTTATGCATGCATGTTAGGGATGATGGATATTTTCAAATAACTCTATTCTACTTTTATAATCTTGAATTTGTGCATATTACTGCTTCTTGAGTTTGTCAGACTATTGTGGTTGTGCATTTTTTCTTGTCCTGAGAACAACTTGGACTTGACACTCGACATGTGATATTGTTGAGTAGGTCTTTCATCCAGTGGGGTATCCAATCTCAATCACTTCCCTCCAGATGTTGTATTTTTTGTGCAAGGTAGGCCCATTGAAGCTCACAGAGTCATATTAAGTGCTCGGTCACCTTTTTTTAAGAGAAAGTTTGAAACTGATTGGAGAGACCGCAGTGAAGTGAGATTAGCAAGGGAAAAGTTATCGTATCCTGCTCTTTACGGTCTCGTTCACTTCTTTTATTCTGACAGACTAGAGATTGCTGTAGAAGACATGGAAGATCTGGTAAGAATCTGCAAAGTATGCAAATGTGAATCTTTACAAAGGATTCTTGAGAAAGAATTGATTCACCAAAAATATGCAGAGTACAAAGCACTGAGAGATATAGACAACTCTCAGAAACGTTATATCTTACAGGGCCTATCACTTCCTGAGGAAGACAGGCTTCCTGCTTCCCTGCATCGGATCCTTCAGAATTCTCTGGCGAGGTCTGCCATGCAACAAAACATAGAGAATGATGTTGATAGGCTAGTATCATCTTTTGCTGTAGTGCAAATGAATGATTGTGTAGATGATCTTGCCGATATTTGTGTAAGAGTTGATAATAAGATTTTTCGCTGCCATCAAGTGGTTTTAGCATCCAGGTCAGAATACTTTAGAGCAAGACTGTCCCATATGAAGGACTTTCATGAAGGGAAAGTTGGGCTACCTAGTGACACTGTTCCTTGTCTTGAAGAACATGATTTAAGCATGGAGGCATTTGAGAAAATGGTGGAGTATATGTAAGTGCTTTCTTTTCTTGTAGAAGGCTAAGCCTAATTAAAATGGTCTAGAGGGTAGTATTCACTCCCAGGTTTGGTCCATTGGCTACCTGCACCATTATTCCTGATAGTAATGGTCCCTGGGCTCTGTAGATTTAGAAATTGTCTAGTTGCAGTCTGAAATGTGTTGCTTAAAATCAGCATTCTCCTTGCAATGTATGTTTGCATAATCAACTGTCTTAATTCTTGGAACCATTATATGCAACAATGCAATTCAATTTACTATTGGCATTACTGAGTACAACTGTCATAGGGACTTATTTTGACTTCATTGGTTCAGGTATACTGATGGGCTAAAGGATATCGATCCAGATCAGGTACTTTATGGGTCCCTCAAAATGGTCTTTGCCTTACTTGATATTATTAAATACTGATTCTATTGTTTGAGCAGGCAGAGGAAATGTTTGATGCAGCTTCAAGGTATCTATTATTTCCTCTTAAGCGTGCGGTTGCTGATGTACTGCTGCCACAACTGGAAATGGTCTTACCAGCAGAACTGTGCCATTGGCTGATACTGTCAGACATGTAAGATGCTTGTTTATTGACCTTCTTATTTCTTAAATCTTAGATTACTTGCTTTGTTCGAATGTATTTGAGATTGGTTTGAAGTTAAATTTATGAAGGACATGAGGAGGAGTATATACTTGCGATGTTCCAATCATGTGTCAGGGTGTGTTGAGTTGTGACACATTTGAAACAGGTTTAGGACTCTAAATATCAGCATCTCTCTCGATGAATAGAAGGGTCTTGCTATCATTCAAGCATTTAGTGGTTAAGCTCCTAATTTGCATGCCTGCTTTTCTGATTTTTCCGAAGGGAACCATAATTCAGTTTAGCATATAGCTATAAAGTAGACCTATTGATTTAACTGTATCTTACTAGTTAGAGCTAGTTGGTGGCTTCTAAGTTGTTAATTGGTGAATTTACATTTGTAGGTATGGTGTCATTAAGATCAGGGAGTATTGTCTCGATACAATAGCCTGTAACTTTGAGACGTTTGCTGACACTCGTCAGTTCCGAGCAATGCTTTTAACACTGCCTCCACCATCTGGAGATTCATCGCTGCGCACCACTGCTCCAAGCGCTCCGGGAGCTGTTGTAAGTACAGACCAAGGAAATCTTCTTGATGATTTGCGAGACAAATGGCTTGAAGCTGAAGCTGCTGAGCTCGACAAGAGAGATGAGAGTGCATTACTTTTTGACAAGCGCCTAGAGATGCTCATGCTTGTGGCAGAGAAAGAATCTGAAGCAGTAATCGATGATATTCAGGATTCCCCAGCATGAATTTTCCTCTCACGTGTTTTTTCTTTAATTTCCTTTGCACGCACTCTCACACAAAGTTAGCAAAAGAAAAAAGGGATATTTTTACAATTTTTTTTAACATATAATAAATGTTTTACCTCGAGTTTGTAACCATAACCAAAGGGGTGCTGTACAAAACATTTAACGGTTTAGTTGAGTCTGTAATTTCTGCTGCTGAAATACCAATATCTTCGGAATTTTTTCTGTCAAAAAAAGGCTTTTTAATTAACAGTAACCGATAGTCTCCAGATCTTTAATGAATTTCTTCTCGTGTATCTCTTTCGATGAATGTATCGCTATCCTAATTGGAAAAATGTAGCATGGCTTATGGATTTCTCTGAGATTTCTATAGCATTAAGCCTTGTGGTTTGAAAAAATTGCAAGATTTGGGACAGAAACTTGTCTGATCTCCGAATTTGATGGCTTGAGAAGTTCCCTGTTGATTTAAGTTCGATTGTTTGTTTTTCAGTTTACTTTAATCCAAAATGTGAAGGATTTACACAGCAATCGCATTTGTAAAGAACAGTAGGGTGACGTTTTTTAGCAGGAGCAATCATTTCATAACCATAAAGTCCGAGGGAACCTATATGGCGGCAACTGAAGCTGCATTTGTCCTGGGTTTGCACTTTGAATGCTATATTATACCAATTTCTTGCCAAACGATGGCCATAAGAATCAACTTCCAGGAGAACAACAGTGAAATGAAGTTTCTTACGAGTAGATAGCCTGAAAATTCCTTCTTCAATTGGCTTCAGGATTCAGGTCTGCCAACGTAAAGATCAGATCATCTACGGCTGTCCAGTCCCGGCTGATACTGAAGTGACACCTCTGTGGCTATCGTATGAAGTCAAATGCTCTCTATCCATCAATTATTCAGCATGATGAATGCCATAGTGTGTTAAAAGATTATGTCTAAGAACATCAGGCTAATTAAAGAATGGCAATTTACCGGAGAGATAATGTCATTATGATGTACTTCACTCTATGATTTTTTCAGTTTGAGCACATGTATACTTACATAGAAAAATTCATAAAATTCAGGTACTTCATATGCCATTATCTCTCCAGTCCGGACATAGAAACAGTGCATCTGCTTACTGCTACTGTATTTTCCTTTGATTCCTGTTATCTTTCTTAGGAAATGAATTAGTAATGAAAAAAATGCTGCTGCATTTTCAGGTCATTCTATATCGGGATCTTTTTCTTCAACATGGCAAGATGGTTCCTCCACATGTGTGGACTCAGTATAATTGGAAACCTCACCTACCAGGACTTCCTTATTCTCGCGATTTACAGACGCGGGAGGGGATGCATCAGGAACGTCACTGTCTTAGTAATCAGCGAGGGACGGGGGATTTTACATGCGTCAGATATGTTTGTTTTGTGCTTGGACTTTGCCAACACTTTGTAAATAGGTTTGTTTTGTCCTTGGACTTTGCCAACACTTTGTAAAAACCAGAACACTGATTGACTTAGGAGTCTAACTAAAATTTTATCTTTTTAATCTTGCAATGGCAATCTCTACAATAAAAGTTTTTTTTTTTTTTCTTATATGAATTATACTTCTTTTCGTATGAAAACTCTTTTTTCTCCGTTTTTACTGCGGTCTTTAATACGGAAAATACATTAATAAAAAATATTGACAAAACTTAATCCTATTCTGACAAGGATTTACTCACAAATCAAATTCTTGAAGAAAAAGAACTTATATGAGATATTGCCCTCCCTCTAGTCTCTATAAATATTTCTCCATGGTTGAAGTCTCAAACGCATTAAAAGCAAGTTTGATCGCCATGGATAGAATTAATCCTTCAGAGGTTGAAGAGCAGAAGGAAAGAAGGGAGGAGGAGGAGGAAGAAGATGTTTTATGGGTGACTCAAAAGGATTTGAAGGAGAGAAATGTTGATATTGAGGCTAAGGTGTCTCCCTGGAGATGTCTTTTGATGGTTTGTGATGTTGCTAATGAGAAGTACGAGCAAAAGGAAAGGGAGGTGAAAGAAAAAAATAATGCAATATTGGAGGATGGGAAGTTGGGTAAGCTAAAAAGAGAGAAAGTTTTGAAAAAGCCAGCGGAGTTCAAGAAAGAAAAAATTGTGAGAGAGAAACTACTTGGTTCTGCTATTAAGAGCTATGAGATAAGATATGGGGTTGATTCAAATTTCAAGAATAATGAGATTGAAGTGATATTGAACCAAAAAAATGAGGTGAAGGACCCTATGCCTAACCCGATTCGCGATGTCTTGACTACAAGAAAGAGAACGTCTGCTTCTGTGGAGTGGCTTTCTTATCCTACAAAGAGCTACACAAGGAATGGTTTTAAACCAAGAATTATGACTGAGGTTAATGATGAAGAATTGAACCAAGGCTTGTATCTGAGAGAGAATAAGATATTCAAACTATCCTATGCTCAAGACAAGTCAAAGGGTTCAAAATCAAACAAGAAATCCAAGCAGGAGAGGCCAACCCTTGATCTTGGCTCACTAGCAGAATTGCCCGAAGAAGTCAAAGAAAGAATTGCTTACATGAAAGGTAAAGCCATAGAGTTGGTGATAGAAAAACAATTATATCAAACTGATATGAAAGATGGTAACAGCCGTTTGTCGATCCCACTGAAACAAGTTATATCTAAAGATTTCTTGAAAGATAACGAAAAGAGTGATCTTAGAGACGGTAAGTGTCTTGAAGTGAAGATTCTTGAGCCCTCCTTGGAAATGGTTAGTAACATGAATATGAAACAATGGATTATGGCTAAGGAGAATGGCAATGTTAGTTCATCATATGTGTTCATCACACATTGGAATGCTCTAAGGAAAAAAAACCATTTGAATTTGCGAGATAGAATTCAGGTTTGGTCTTTTCGAGTAGAAGAAGAACTTTACTTTGCTCTTGTTAAGGTCAGCAAGAAAAAAGAACAAGAGACTTGTTTTAACGGCAGCAATACCAATGCATCAACTGTTAGCCAAGATGGTAGCGTGACTGAATATAATAGCAATAACAGTAGTTGAAATTCCAAGAGTGCTGAAGGAAGAAAACAGTGGTGCTAGTGATCATGGAGTTGCTAGTCCAAGAGAAGGATTTGAAGACGATAATGGCAGTTGTCAGATCATGGAAGAGAAGATCCACCGTATTCTGCTAACAAATTTGAAGTTGTTGATTTAACAACTCACTGTCTTATTCATTATGGAAGCTTTTCTTCTTTACTTTATTCTTGTACCTTTTGTTTCCTTTCGATATTTTATTAATAATAAAGAGCAATTATGAAAATCAGATTACGGTGCAAAACTTTTCTCATTAACAAATTCAATTCGTTGTAGAATGGTATAAGAGAATTGTGAGTAGACAAATTTACACAATACCTAAACAAAAATAGCAGGCAAACCTATAAATTTTATTAACTTCAGAGTATGTCAAAAACAAAAAAGAAAAAAAAATTACAAATTCTGTATGACTGTAAGATCCCGCGGGGCATGGGACTGGGTTAGTGCTTCTTGTGAAGAAACAATGATTGATGAGTTTTGTACCCTAGTTCATGAATTTCCGGCAGTTTGGAGCTTTACATAAACAGGGAACTTTGAATTCATCAGGCTCGTCAGGATCGAACAAATAATCATACCTGACACATGCAATTAAGAGTTATGAGCAATTGAACAGTTAACAAACTTATGAACTCAAACTAAGAGAGGTTATACGTTAGCTCATCACCAGCAGATTCATTTGTCTTCGCAATAAGGACTATACGACTTTCGTTATCACCCACATCCATGATCCTTGCATAGCAATTGGGCATCACAGTTTAGCTCTCAAAGGTAGAGAACAAAGGAAAAAAAAGCCACAGAACTACACGTAGTAGTATTCTGAGCAAGGAAAAAAGCAGGGCGGGGAAGCATGTTCAACTTAGAAAATTGCTTTCAATATCTTCAAAACCAGTATGATCTTAAGCAGAGGCTAGGGTTTCTCTGACTACCACAGTGTTTTATCATCTTTTACTTAACGAAGAGTAAAAGAAGAAAATAACTCAGATAGCAGTCTTTTCCCTCTGATCAATAGCGAGCCTCCCTAAGATCTGCAATACTGCCTCTCATTTGTTCACCACGATACTCAAGAACCTGGAGACAATCGTGTCTCGGTGATGGATTGTGTTTTGGTTTTGATGATTATACAGACATAATTCATATGTGAAAATCACATTTCAAAGCTATTTGCATTTCAAAGGTTTTTTCATTCATGACAAAATCATGCATACCATTTCTCCTTCTTGGATGTTTCTTCGTGCAAAGAGGCCCCATCCATGTATTCCAAATCTCACAAAGCAAACTCGGTCATTTTCAGTTCTCTGAGATCATATGTACAACCAAGAGATAGTTAGAAGGCAATCTAGAAAGTAATATTATTAACAGAAAGATGGAGACCTGCATGTGAGTGGTAAAGCCTTTCCCTGAAAGAAGAAAACTTTTAGGCTCCTCTACTACCTGTTGAAGAAAAAAACCAAGCACATGACCACTAGCTTTGTTTCTCTCAGTTTCCATGTCAAAAAAGATGAGAAGATAACAAATATTATATACTACTGAAGGGAAGGAAAAAGAAACTTCACTCTGAATGCATTCAAACTTTGTATCTCTCCGAAAGGATGATGACAAGGTCTTGTCAATCGATGGGAAATGGCTTCTTCTTCTGTTCTCTGGCAAATAAAAAAATTGAAGTGATGAAATCTCAAAAGCAAGGAACTTTTATTTGCAGCAAGGATTTGGAAAATTCACATAAAAAGCCTAGCGAAGTACTTGAAACATCTGTATACAAGGTATATCAGTTCTGTTGCTATTTTTTAGGGATAAATTGTAACAAAGGTAAATTAGATGTACAATATGGACCGTTAAATAATTCAGTGAATGAACAGCTCACAACTGAGGAGACTACAGCTTAATTCACATTTTCAATTCATTATCTAAACTCTAAACCTGCTATTGATGATGAAATCAAATTTCAGATCCATTGGATAAAAAAGAAGAAGAAGAAGTCAAATTAGGGCATACAATTTGCTAACCTGCAACTCATAACTATCCCATTCATAGAGCCCCAAAATACATTTCAAGCCCAAATTTGATAGTGAACAATTCGACCATGTAACAATATCACAATAGGTTTCCATTATTACATCTATCATTTATTCATTCTTTTTAACAGCAACCAAGCACTTTGTTAAGCATATGGACATGACGAATTTAGCTCCATAACTTCCTGATTTATTTTATTTTTTTTCCAAAGCAACAAATCTAGCTAATTTTCTCTTGCTCAATTTGGTGATCTTATGATTTTAATCATGTCATGGATCTTGTTTGTGCTTTGTTCCTTGTACGATTCCCGTTCATAAAAAGTTCACCATGTCTACTACTTAAAAGTATGGGCAAAAGAGCAAGATATGAAGCCTCCAAACTCATGGGATTGGTGTTAATCTCGGCAAGCAACTCTTAGAATTTGTGGACAATTATCCCCAACCTCGTCCCCTCAAAAGTACCCAGAATATACTATAGCTGCACCCCTCCACCAGCTACGTACAACACGTTCAGGTGAGCTAACCGTCTTGTGTTTTATAAATGCACCGCAATCCCTATGAAAAAAGTAAGAAAGAACAGAAAAGAAAAAAAGAAGAAGAAGATATATCCACACACACTGGAAGAGATGGGCAGCGAAACTATTGTTTAGGTACCTTGTTGTTGTTCACTCTTTTGATGACCCAACAACTCGCAGCAGAGAGTGGCTCGGACTCAGTAGCTTCTTCTGTTGACACCTCTTCAATTTTTATTCTATTAGATGCAATTAGCCTAGTACCAGCCCTTTTCTTATTTTGAACAAGGCTTTTGGCGGAAAACACTCCTGCAGGAGTGTGTATGATCAAAACCGTGTCTGGATTTGGAGCCCTCCATCATGAAAGACAACAAGTAGTTATTATAATATAGCTATAGATGACGTATATGTTTCTTGACAAATATGAAGGTCACCAGAGGCTTTGATCTGCAAATTAACTCTAAAATAGAAGTAAAGGATGAGGAATGCTATTGGTTTTGTCATAAAATATAGGGACACTGTACCTGTGATTGCACAATATGAAATCATTTTTGTCGTCTGTCTCCCATTTTTCTCCAAGCAGTGCAACTGCGATTTAGAAGGAAGATAATTTAATAATAAAGCAAGGCTGAGCAAGAGACAGAGAGAGAATGAATCCAACCCATGCCAATTGAAAGCTCAATAACTTCAACTAATGAATAAATTTTCCCAGATGAAGAATGGTATATATATATATTTTACATGCCTACGGTAAAACAGGTGTATGCAGCAAGTATTCCAACCCAGAAAGTAAGGAGCGAAAGCACCTCACCTCCATGCGATACCCTGCCCTCGAAGCACACATTGCATGGTAATATGTGGAACACTTGCAACATCGAGTACAGGAGCCATGAATTGTTTACAAATAACACAAATCTGGAGTTCCAAAAAAACACATTAAAATTTCATCAGCTATGTTTCCAAATGCACCAAAGAGCTCACCAATCATAATTCACCAGCATATAGTCATTGATAAAAAATGAGGAAACAGAAAATTAAAGCAGATTCAAAGCTCAATACAACAGCAAAAAATGCCAAAATTAAAAAAGACCAACTTTCAACTTATTCACGACACAATTCATTGAGTAAAGTAGCATGATTCTTGAAAACCACCAGTCCTCACATGATGCTGATTGAACTTATATGGATCCCTAGGTTAAGTATGAGATGCGTAAGATTTTACAAGTCAAACTAGAGCAGCTCTAATGCAGTGATTATTAGAATGAATATCCTATCTTTACAAAAGATTTGAAGGGATGCTTACAATCCCAAGAGCAGGTTCCATCTTTTCATCACTTGCAGATGAGACTTCAGGTTGAAACCAAGCACATATAACATGACCCCATAATGTCTCAACATCGGTTGGCTTTAGAGCACCACCTAAGAAAAATTGAGGAAATAGATATAAGATCAAAGAAACAAAATCACAGCCTACATGAAAAGCGACTAAAGAAATTCTCATTTGAGTGTAATAAACCTATTAGTACATAGTAAAAAAATTTTGGGCAAACAACAGAGAGAAATTCGTTTTAAATTACTTTATGCAGAAGCAAGCTATGATCAAATTATGAAAAGCAACATCTATTTGTAATTGGCTCAAACCCAAGATGGAAAAAAGAGAGATTCACTGCAGGCTGAACAAAAAACAAACCTTTAACAGAAGAAAGGCAACACTCCCTCTTAATATCTCGTGTTTCACATGCTTTGCAAGTCCAATAAGTGAAATCCTTCACGTTTCTTGCTCCATGACATTCTTGATGAACAGCTATCTGACATCTGACAGATGGATAAAATAATGTGTGATATTAAACATTACAACGAAATCTCCAGCCAACAAAAAATGTCTTGCTCTAATTAGCAGATATATAAGCAGGACATTATTTTCTTCTCTTTTGAGATCATTTTATTACATTACGCAATTGTAGCAGATAGCAGATAACTGCAGCAAGAAAGAATTCTAATGGCTTCATAGTATTTAAATCATTCAAAAACTCCATAATCTTCTTTTCTGACTAAGATAGCTTTGTTGCTTTAGACGTTGATGGAGGTTTCTCCAAGTGGCAGAAACATGTCTAAAATACAGCTCAAGATTGCCTGAAGTGTCTTTAGCACCAAATATTTTCACCAGCACATAGTATTCTGTGCATACTAATTAGAATCCATATTGAAATAGTCGCAATACACTTTGCAGATAATAATCTTGTCGTAGCCCAATCTTCTGCCCATCTAAATACAGCACAACGTTCTGTAGTCCACTTAGCATAAACAGGTCCATATCTCTCTGTCATGACAATCATAATAAAATGCTCATTGAACAGAGAAATTCAGACAGCCCATACTAATTAGTATCCTATGCTAGAAAAGAGACATACCTTGTAAGAAAGCAAGCAACTTCTGGTTCCGCTCTTTAATGGAAGGTCGCTTTTGGGGTTTAGTAGAAAAGCACGCGCATGATACTCTGCTAACTGCGTCATCTGCGAAGTCCAAGAGCATATTGGAGATGCGTACAAATTAATATCCAAGATGGATAAGAAAAAAGAAGATGACGTTGAAAAGCAGCTCTAATGTTCAAATTTAAGATGATTGTAAGAAACCATATTTCGTGATCATTCTTTCAAAATATTCACCAGATAAGGAAAGATGCTCAAAAGATTTTGTACAAACCCAAACTTGCAAACGAAATAAGAAGTTATTCACAGAATGAGGAAAGAAGCTCAAAAGATTTGGTACGAACCCATTGTTCCAGTGGTAGCATGGAATCTTTCACCCTAATACTGGTCCTTCAATTCTTAATTTTGGAACCCGTGTGCCGTTCCCATTCACTAGGGGCTTGCTTTTCTGAACCACAGAACCCAATTTGCAAACAACCCTAAGAGCAGAGGAAAACAAATCCTTAAATGAACTTGACAAAAGCGCTCAGGAACCAATTCATGCACTTGTGAAGCTGTATTCCTGCTTACAAGTTCAGACTTGGGAAATATGTGCCTACCACTCCTGAGCAGATAACAGCAACCTTATTAGGTAGCGCTAATTTTGTTTGATCTGTGCCAAAGGCTCTAAGGTATTAGATATAAAACCTTCAAAATACTTGTAAATAGAAATTTCAAAAACCTTTTGTTTCTTAATAAAAATCAAAATCAAAGGGAACATATTTGCATTTCGGCTGCGATTTTTCTTAACTGACAATTCAAAAATAAATTTTGCCGCGCAAGCAGGGCAGTAGTAATCGGAGGCCCCCAGATCCTTCAAGCAAGAAGATTGATCAGGAAAGTCGAAAACTTCCATCGATGTTCTCATTATGCAGGTAGAACAGAAAGTATAAGTATGGACAGACCTTAAAACGAATGCTGGAAATCTTGTCGAACCCGGCATGGGACCAAACTTTACAACCATCACAACGTACCTAATTGAGAGAGGAGAACCAGAAGATTAATTTGATAAGAAATAAACATTACATCTGGAAAAAAAAAAAAAAAAAAAAATCACAACTCTAAATAGAAGTTGCAGGCTGCTTCACCCACCTCCCACTCTCTGAATGATTCCAAACCTTCTTGCATATACCACAAAAATGTTTTAGTTGAGTCTCTGTAATTTCTGCTGCTGAAACATCAATACCTTAGGAATTTTTTCTGTCAAAATTTGGGTCTTTAACTAACAGTAACAGATAGTCTCTGTATTGGAGACAATGGCATAATGAAGTACTTCACTCTGTGATTTTTTCAATTTGGGTACTTATTTTTGTATAAAATTTAAATATTTTTACTCATAAATTTTTTTATCAACCAATTAATATCGATTAATATAATGTCAATTATATATATATATTGAAAATAATCTTGAGCTATACAAGAATATAATTTTAATTTTCTAAAAAAATAAATTTTGTAATACCTTAAAATTTTAATGGTTTAGTAATTTTGAACCATTTTCATTTCTTAAAACATTTTGAACAAGTTTTCCATCATACCCTTTTATAACTCAAGGGCATCTTTAGATGTAAACTACAATTCGATTGGTTTAAATTAAAAAAATTTAACATGACATATTGAAAAATTAAATATTATACAATAATATAATTGACATAATTTGAGACATAAGACTATAGTAGAGATTTGTCCAATTACATAAGAGAGATGGAGCATTTACTCTATACCGTTCTTTTTTCAAACAACAAATTTTTTAAAAAGAAAAAAAAAGACTAATTAATTACATAAATTTATATTTATGTTACTCATTATTTTAGTTTCTTAAACTTCTATATTTACCTAAAATTAAATCTTAAATAGACAGGAAAAAAAAAGAAAATATATAAACCCACCCATTTAATTAATTAATTAATTAGTTTTATGGATTTTATTTTTAATTTATTGTTACTTTATTTTATTTTATTCAATTTTTTGATGGATAAAAAAGGTAGAAAAATGGAAAAATCACAAATATTTTGAACACATGAATCCACTTGTTTGGGAGATAACAAAAGCTTAAAAATACTCTATTGATTAAATAAATCTTATGAGTACAAATACTTAAATAAATAAATAAGAATCATAAAGTACAGGTGTTTTATTAAAAAATGGAGAATAATAAATTACTTTATTAAAATACTATTAAAATAATACCAACAGGAACCCACCTCTTCTAACTACCACTAACTACCATGACAACATTCCGGTAATAGAAATACTTAATTGATCAAATTTCATGAGCACAAATACTCAAATAAATTTTTTAAAAAGCCTCTGCATATACTCAAATAGGAATATTTATAAAATTCAGGTACTTCATATGCCATTATCTCTCCGGTCCGGATGTAGAAACAATGTATCTGCTTGCTGCTACTGTATTTTCCTTTGATTCCTGTTATCTTAAAAAATGAATTAGTAATGAAAAAAATGCTGCTCCATTTTCAGGTCATTCTATATCAGGATCTTTTTCTTCAACATGAGGAGATGGTTCCTCCACATGCGTGGACTCGGTAGAATCTGAAACTGAATCATCCACCGCCAAGTTGGAAACCTCACCAGCCAGAACTTCCTCCTTCTCGCCATTTACAGACACATGAGGGGATGCATCAGGAACATCACTGTCTTCAGCAGCAGAAGACTCCGAGTCACCCTGTTGCTGAAGGCTCCAGTACATTATGCTTGCGGTCAAAATAAGGATCATCTTCTGGTTTACCTATCATAATCATCAATGCAAAAGCAAGGTTGATCGTTAGATCTGCCAAACCAATATATTGTAGTCTGGTTAAATCCAGTTCAGCTCAAACCAGTTGGGGTCAACTCAGGACCATCAGTTGACAGTCTTCTTTGCATTTCTTTCAGGGAGTTCATTAAAATCCTTAAGTAAGGTCGTCAAAAGAGAAGGCTAAAAATCCGGCAAAATAACACTCTGTTACGTAAGAAGACTTAGAGGCTGAATCAGCCTTGATGAGTTAAAGAGCAATCAGTTCAATATGGCCTTTTTTATAAAACTTTTTAGCTGACTTGACCAAGTAACCTACCAGAGACACAAATGGGAAGAAGATGCGGCACATTATATAATTTTCTATTATGAGAAACTAGGAAGTATATTCATTTTGTGTTCCAGTCAGTAAGCCCACCTCTATAATGTCCTCAGGTAACAAGAAAATAGAGCAACCAAGCTTTCGGGCAACACTGATTATATAGGTAGCATTCAACTTCTTATCCTCATCTGCAGTGTGAAAATAAATAAAGTGAGACAGTCTTCGTGTAGATTATATCAAACTAAGCTAGGCATACAGGTTCCAATGTAATGCTGCTTAGGAAGCCAAAATGGTGTTCCCCATTTTTTGGGGAGTGTCATACAACCCCACGGCAAGAAAATAACAAAGATGATTACAGAGATAAAGGATAATGATGTACCAGTTTCTCCCTTTGTAACAACACTCCAGTTGACCACTCTAGGCTCCACCGAGCCAAGAAGCTCAAGGAAGAAAATTCCATTTGAAAGCTTCTTATCCTAGAAGGAAAAAAATTAAAACAGCAGAGAGTAATCCTATGGTAGTACTTAGAATAAAATTATATAACAAGGTCAATTTTTTTTATCGTTGATTACCTTGAAGCTCTCCATTTGAGACGTTCTACCTGCTTTCTTCACTTTCCTGTTTGCCCATTTTAGGATGTCAGCATCTGTAATCTCTTTACCCTGGGAGTGGGAGGAGTGAGATCTTAAGTTTTTCAGGAGCTGAAGCATCGTAAACCTCATTAGTTGCCATAAATAGGCTGTGGGGAAAAGAGATTGAAGAGTCAGCTCTTTGCAATATAAACTGAAAAGCAGTGATAAACAACTTACATAGGGACAGAAACATTGTCAAATAAAAAGAAGGGAAATGAAAGTTGTTTAAGAAATTGTTTCCAAAGCTATTTTTATAAGAAACAAGTTGATTACACATAAGCCGATTAGGGAAGTATATCAACTACCACTGATGCCTAATCAAGCTATAACCAATCAACAAGAAAGAAGCCAATGGATTGAGTTAAATAAAGAGAGCTAACCTAATATGAGCTTCTTATTTCCTTGCACAATGTCATTTCCAGCTACATTCACAAGGGAAAAGCACAAGTCCTTCCCTATCTTTATTACTTGGTTGCAATTCTCAACTTTTCTAAATGGCATCTTTATAGGAGGCTTAGATGCCAGCTTCCAATTAACTGATCCAGGAGAAACTTTGTCAAGGACTTCTAGAAGAACCCATCTGCATAGCAGTCATAAACATCAATCAAGGTTCAATGAGGCTTTGTATTGAGGAGGGAAATGAAAAGCTCACCCGTTCCTGACATCCTCAAAAACATTGTTGACATAAGTAGCAGTTCCAAGACTGTTAATCCACAGTCGGAAGCACCTCTCTTCTCGAGAAGTTTGTGCATCATCTGTCATCATCTCAGCAAAGGACATCTTACTGGTATCAACAGACAACCCATTTCTGCAAGAGAAATTCATGCATTAGTCAAGAATCATACTTACAGGAAACGCCACAATTTGCACATGCATGCATGACTAAAATGAAATTTTGAAGTTATCAAATGCACCAAAAAGAGTTCTCTAATTCAGTACAATTAAGTTGCATGGAAGGCACTAAATAGGAAGCGTTTAGCAATATGGAAAAATCAATATTAATGGACAAGGAGAAGCAGGTAGGCAGGTTGAAAAATCCAATAGCCACAATAAATTGATGGTAATTGGCAACAAGCAGATGACAGTCAGACTGAAGTGAGAGAAAATAAACCTAGACAAAACCATGGTTCCAGGAAAGGTCGATAGAAGAAGCAGGGAGATCAAAAACCTAATTTAAATATTTTAATGACGAACTCAACTTCTAGAATGCAAATATGGATACACACTAAACTTCTAGAATGCAAACATGGATACACAATGGGACAAAGAGAACAAAAATAGTAGATGAAATTCAAGCAAAAATGTCACAGAAAAATGTTTTCCTTTTCTCACCTATGCTGGAATATTTGAGCAACAAATGCAAGATTAAGATTTGGCGAGCCCTCCACAATGTCTTTAGAAGTGAGATATCTTTTACAATCCAGTTTCTCTGCCTGCTCAAGAACCATGTTTGCCCTCTCTGTAGGATCCTTGGCATCCAAGGAGGCAGGGCTACTGTATTCTGGTGCAAGAGCATTAAGAAGGTAGGTATAGGCCTCTCCATCCTGCAAATTCAAGGTTTATAATTATGAAGAGCATAAAAGATAAAATAAGAATACCAGAAAATTCAGTTTGCTCACAATATTACAAGAAGACAAACTCCTAAATGATATACACATCAAGTGTTTTGGCATGGATAAATTGGTGAATTTCTTACCTTCACGTCAGAGGAGAAGTTTGTAACCTGTTTACTGTATCCAACTTTCTTCAGATGAAAATTCATCCATTTCAGTAAAACCTTTTCAGGTGCTAAACCCAAGAGCTCCTCCACATCCTGCAAGTTTCTATCAAGTAATAAGCAGACATAGGGGATAGCACAAATAGATTTATTCAACATCCCTCGTACAATCAAAACATGGAAAGAAGGTAAACGCAACCAACAACTTCTGACCTTGCTGTCATCCACCAATTCCACAAGTTGAGGAGTCTTCTTAAGATTAAGAGTGGCTAATAGTTGAATCTGAAAGTTGACACCATATGAAAGACAACATGTTAAAAGCCTAGATAACCCACTCCTCAAGTCTTTTAAGTTAACAAGACTATCATCATCATCATTGTTTCTATATCTATGAATTTTACACATGTGGAGGAAGACCTTTTGAGTTGAATACCTTAATAATTTGAGAAATCAATCCAAGAACCAGATGGGGCTGCAAAAGAAAAACCAGAAACATTGAGCATATTTGAATATAACAAGATGACAATGGTTAACTAGGCATCCTAACTTACTCTCCCTTCAATAAGGTCCTGTTCACCAATATTAACAACTGTACAGCCAATAGCCTTTGCAGAATTAAGGCAGAGGGTGTGATTCTCATTCCTCTCCCATGGATTAAGGGTCCCTTTTGTGTTAATAGCTCTCTCATCTATGGTTCCAGGAACAGCCACGTTTATAAGCTTACTGCATTAAGCATAAAAAATCATCAACAAAAATACAAAACATTGACCAACAATAAAAGTACTGGATTGTGAAGCAGATGCGGAACATCTACCAAAGAAGAACTCCATCTTTGACAAGATCAAATAAATCATTTGTTGCTGGATCTAATGGAAGATATTTCTTCAAGAAGCGATCTTCTGCCAAGTAGCTGTTGATGTGGGAAACATAGGAAGCCTTCTCGGACTCATTAATATTATGGTGAAATGTAGTTGTAGCTGCCTTGAGAAAGGAAACAGAGCTTTTCAGTTTTTTCCCACCAGATTTTTTAGTTACTCGGTTTTGCAAATTTATGTATGCCTGCCAATTAAAGTTTAGCAAAGTCCTGGTTATTCACAAATGAGAAAATAATCAAACAATTAAAAGTCAAGCCAAACAAGCTGTAATTAACCTTAAGGAAGGATTCGAAGTCGAGTTCTTCTTCCATGTTCAAACCACCCTCCGCCAACATAGCTTTAATATCATCCTCATTAAACACATCAGTGAAGGCCCTCAATTTAGCAAAAATAGGTGGCAAATCCCCCACCGTGACACGTCCAGACTGAGTCCTCGTCGACACAAACTAAAACCAATGCAAAACCAAAAAAACATTAAAACAATAATAAACATAATGTAATGTAATGATAAGAAGAGAGTTATTAGTTACCTTGGATTTGAGGGAGCGTAACTCGACTTGAGTGAACTGGCTTTGAAGCCATGGATCAGAAACAACTACACCCACAAAACTAGACATCTTTGCCTATTGTGCTGCACAAATTCATTAATCATCTAATTAAGCTAAAAAAAAAAAAAAAACTGATTGCCCATATGCATTCATTAATTAATTACGTAATAACACATTCATTTAAGCAATTAATGATATAAACATTAACATTTGTAAAGGGATTCAGAAAAAAAGAAGAAGAGAAACGATTTTGTTGATATCTAATAAAACGTCATTCAATCGCCAATATATGTATAATAGTTAGCTAGCATGCGAGGATTAATGCGATATAGAAATGGTACTTTATATATGTATATCAATAATCCAATAGAAGAAGGAAACAAAACGAAAGCAATCAAGAACCAATTACCTGGAAAAAAAACTCAGAGATTGATCATAACGTCCGTCTTTTGGGCTATTTTTCCCTGAAAGAGAGAGAGAGAGAGAGAAATAGAGAGCGTAAACTGATGTTTTGGTAGATAATCGGAAAATAAAAAGGGTATGATTTTATGATGGAATGAGAAGGAGAGAAAAGCGGTGTTGCCTGTAATTGTAAAGACCCGCAAAGACTCACGGACTAATGCCTCTATTTATGAAAATAATTCATTGAGCGAGAGAGAGGACCCAAATTGCCTGGGCTTCAAGACAAGACACAGAACCAGGCAGGGTGGCCTTTTTTTTTTTTTTTCCTTTTTTCCTGGTTTAGTTCACTTCAAAAACTTCATTTTCTTTTCTTTTCTTTTATATAATATATATGCAATGCATCATTTGATTAAAAAAAAACATTTAATTGATTAAAAAGCATTGCTTCATACATTTCCTTTTGCTTAATAATTAAATTAAAACGTTTAACCACCGTTATTATCAAGTTGGGAAGACTATCATAAAAATCAGATTAATCGTTAAATTCATATTATTAATTAATTCCCAATATTTAAAAAAAAATCAATTTTTTTTTCATATTTTAATGTTCGCCTAGATGATAATTTCACATCTGAGAGTATGGTAAAAAGTAGAAAAAACTACCCTTGGTTGGTATCTATTTATGAGATCCCTATAATATATAGTGTAATAGTTTAAGTAGAAAAAGATAAATTAACAAGGAAAGAAAAATTCTCTCCTTCTGTCTCAAGGAAAGAATAGTTAATAGTTAGCAGGAACTTTTTCATGGTTCTCTTGCCACGTATGGTTGCAACATATAGTTTAATAGTTAGATTTTTTATTTATTTTGCTGCTTGCATGCATATACGTCGGAGGAGTAGTTCGGTGCGGCTAAGGTTCGGTGTTTTGAGTTTAAATCTTCGATGCATGAACTGGATTATTAAAACTCGAGAGTGTAAGGGTTCTTGGTTGAAGTGCATAAATTTTATAATACTTAATTAATAAATAATTAGTATAAATTATTTAATAAAAAAATTAAAAAAATTAAAAAAAATTGAATGAAAGTGATATTTTTTTATGTATTTTAATTTTTTTTATATGTCTATTTCTTTCTTGAAAAATAAATTCATTAAATAATTATTATATATATTTATTAATTATTTTTTAAGTATTATATAATTTTTTGATTGAAGCATGGAGGATGTAGCAAAAAAATGACGAAGTCTTTCAAATTCTTTGATCTTAAATCATCTATTGTTAGGCTTTCAAAGATGAGAAAGAGTGGTTCCATTCCATCCTTTGAGACACAGAGAGAGAATTTTTTCCTTCTCTTTTCCTATTTCTTTTATTGTCCCAAATCATTTTTTTTCCAATAAAAAAATAATTAGATTTCCTTTCAACATAAAACCTTTGATTTAATCTAGGCCCTAGAAAAGTTGAAGCCAATTGCTTATCCGGTGGCATTTAAACTCGACGGAATCAAATTGTTGGTTTGTGCACAACATGAATATATTTAAAATTAATTGCGGAGGAATTTTCCAAATCGGTGCTTCCCAAATTCCAATTATGATTTTGGCTGCAAAATCAAAGACCATTTACTTTCCATGAGGTGCTATGCCCTTCCTAGACTTCCGCAATAAATACACTTGGACGTTTGCGAGGGTGCTGCGTTGGGTAAAGTGGCGGTTGCCTGGTCGGCTACATTTTATTGACACATGGAGCCTGATCAATTAAACTATTATTATTTTATTGTGGATAAAAGTTAAACTATGCATGCTCAACATGACTTGATATTGGGCGGTTCAAGATCGAATAGTTTTTGTCAATGCCGTCAAAAAGAGAGGAGGAGGAGAAATGGAGAATATGGGTTGTTCGTTGGCCAGGCCGACCAAAAGGTTCAAGTTACTGCTACGGTGCGACCTTTCATCGCTGTTTGGAGCCGAGTAAAATATAACTTAGTCTCTCTAGTTCAGAGAAACGAACTATTTAGCTTTTCCCGTTTCAAAAAGTAATTTATTAATCCCTTGCTTTTAAATCCTATAAATAACTTCGTCTTTTCGCGTGGTAACTGTTAGTAAAATGATGATATGTTTTTACTCAAATATGTTTTATTCTCAAATAATTCTTGTAGTAATATATAAAACTAATGACAAATTTGTTCTTCTCTTCCTCTCTTCTTTTTTTTTCTATTTTTTCATTTTTCTTCCTTAATTTTTATTTCATTTTTTAGAATAATCCCTACATGGGGACTAAATAATTATGCTTTTTTAGCTTTTTAATTCTATGGTGGAAAACGCGAAGCAAAACCAAGCTAAACTAGAAAAAAGAGAAAAAGAAAAGAAAATTGTTAGAGACTAATATAAATTATATTTTGGGGTCTCATTTATCAACTTAAGTTTTTAAGTGAGATGATCTTTTAATATGATATCGTAGCTTGGTTGACCAAGAGGTCCTAAATTCAAGTCTCACCATCTTCAATTTCTCAAATATTAAGCACAATGCAATATGGACTCGTGTAAGTTTCAAGCTCAAATGTTAGAGCTTTCACTTGAGGGAGTGTGTTAAAGACTACTATAAATTATATTCCGAGGCCTCACCTATCAACTTAACTTTTTAAGTGAAATGATCCTTTAATAAAAACCAAATAAAATGCCTCTTTTTCTTCTCTCCTGCTCTTGTCTCTCTATTCTGCTTCTCTCATCTTTTCTTTTTTATTATGGGATAAGGTGCAAGTGAAAAGGACAAGGGGAGAGTAGAGTGCACGATGACACATGCTAACACTAGGTGTAATTTCCCCGATTCAAAATCCTCCTTATATGGAAATATATTATTGGGATGTTTTGCTTAAATAATAAAGAGATATTTAAATAAAGTAAGAAATGCATTATATTTATATTAAGAATAAATTAAATACAAGTATGATTATAATAGAAAGTTAATGAAATTAATAAAGGTTGAATTAATAAGGATTCTCTAACCACCAAATTAGAGGCAAAACAAGTGTAAGTGATCCTTCATTGGTCCATGTAGCGATTGCTCTTGATATGGAGTATCTTTGTTGCTCAATTGTGGTTGTTCACTTAATTTTGCAGCACTCGTTGTGTCTAGAGAATGTATTCTTCCATTTCTTAACGATTACTCTCGAAAACGAATGGATTTGTTTCGTTTTCAAGATAGGTTTATATGCTAAATGAGTATTTCAAGTATTAGATATAAATTTGATAGATCCATCAATAATTCCAATGTGAAGACTAAAATATTAGTTTTTGAAACAAATGAAACTAAATAATTCTTTAGAGGTACTAAATTATATTTTACTCGTTCGGAGCCTCATCTACTCATCACGAAAAGGCAAAATGATTATTAGAAGGCAAAAACACCTTCTTATATAGTAAATTATCAATTGTTCTCTATAGTTTTTTTTTTAAATAAAAAATTAATCTCTTTTATTTTAAAAATTAATTTTTTTATCTATTTTTTATTTTCTAGTTTATTTTAAAATAGAAAAAAAGGAAAAAATAAATAGAAGTTATGAAATTATTGATGAAGAAAGTATATATTATAGAATAAAATAATATTAAATTAAGTATAGTTAGCATACTAAATAATTAATTTTTAAAATAAGAAACATTAATTAATATGTTTTTTTTTAAAAAATAGAAGAACTAATTTAGAATCTACTCTCCTATTACATAAAATACTTTTCTCAAATGTGCTCAAATTATTTATTTTATTTCCTCTTATTTCAACTATAATTGTCAAGTAGATTAATTAGACAATCGAGAGGACATATATATATATATATATATATATATATATATATATATAAGAATAGTTATTATCTATTTATTTCATTGATTTTTTAAGTTTGACTTTTGAAGCTAATATACAGTGGAATTTATTTTTCTAAATGCACAAAGTTTTGAAAAAAAAAAATATTGATTGAAGCGCAAACTGATCGGAAATAACCCTTGTCATAAACTAAAAAATATGTGCAAGAACTCGATGTATAATTTTATAGTTGAAACTAGCATACATCCCGTTCGTTGTCGTAGGATGAGCTATACAATATTTTTATATATTCATTAATATACAATATGAAATTTAAAAATATCATGCGAGAAAAATTCAAAAAAAAAAAGAATTAAAACATGTATTTCATAATTTACGGTAGGGTTAACTAAATAAAAAGTATGCATAGTTGAATAATATAATGTTGCCAATTAGATATTGTTTGATATAATTAAAATATGTATAATAATTAATAATTAAAATAATAATGTGATAGTTTTTAAATTTTAGATGATTAATTTTTACCATATATTATTCATCCGTAATTTGTTAATGAGACAGAAAAACGATCCAAAACAAAAAGACAAAAAACCTTTGTCATATTGAGAATTTGGCAAAGAAAATAAAGATAAATTTATACATGATAAAAATTAAATGATTAAAACAAAATAAAGATCAAAATAAATAGAAAAACTTTCACTAAAAAAAACAAATTATAAACAATAAGTCAAAAAAAAATTCATTATGCATAAGGCGAGAAATAAAAGTATAACGTTATAGAATTTTAATGACCAAAATTAAAAAAATTAATAAAATAAGAATAAAAACATAAAATATTTTTTTACTAAAAAACAAAAAACTTTAGAATAGTTAAACTGTATTTAATTTTAGAGTAGAATGAATAATAATTAAATATAATAAAATTTTAATGATCAAATAAATGAAAGATCACAAAACAAAAATCAAAATGTAACAAAAAGTTTTAGTCAAAGTAAAAAATAGTTTCTTGCAGGGAAAAAAATCAAATATAGTAAAAATTTAATGATCAAAACAAAAAACAATTATAAAATAGGGACTAACAAAAAAAAAATTCTACTAAATTTAATGATGAAAATAAAAAAAATCACAAAAAAAGAATTATAATAAAAAGAAAAGTTTCACTAAAAGCCAAAAATAAAATAAAAAAATTTTAGGATAGTAAATTTTATTTAGTTTTAGTATAGCAAGGATAAAAATCAAATATGATAAAACTTAATAACCAAAATAAAAACGTATCACAAAATAAGAATTAAAAAAACATAAATTTTTATTAAAAGCCAAGAAAAAAAATTTTATAGGGATAAAAATCAAATATAATAAAATTTTAATATTTATTATAGGGATAAAAATTAAATATAATAAAATTTTAATGATCAAAATAAAAAATAATTTCCTTAAAAGCTTGAAAGTTAGCAATCCAAAGGACAAAAAAAAAAGTGTAAAAGCTTGAAAGCCAGCAACCGAAAAAAGAGAAAAGAAAAAAAAACAGTGAATAAAAAGTAAAGTACTACAGTGTTTTCCCATTTTTTTTTTAATTTTATTGTAATCGTAGTTGAGATTAACTTTGCAAGTGAAGCCAATTGAAATTAACTGGATTCGAACCCAGTCCTCCACAAAATGACTGTTCTTCTTACAGTCTAAACTGACCCGGAGCTTTTCTTTTTGACAAATAAGGTCCTCTGGAATTTTCTTTTGGGGCACTAGAAGTTTTGGATCCAAGAGTTCAAACTGTGATAGGCCCATAGCGAAATTTCTAAGGATGTTTACTTGATGGTTCTTCTCACAAGCCCATAACCGATAGATTGAAGTACTGAACATTGGTTCCATCACATTACATTAAAATAATAATAATAATAAAAGCAAATAAGAAAACCAAAAGTTTTACATGGTATGTGGCCCATGCAGGTTTCGAACCTGCGACCTTCGCGTTATTAGCACGACGCTCTAACCAACTGAGCTAATAGGCCGATTTGCTAATTTTTATCAGTATATATATATCGTTATGTTTTTGTTTGAAAAACACAAGTCTAGATTTTATTCCTGATCAAACATTCGATAAATAAGAGAAGAGGTGGGGTTTGATCCAATTCTGTTGTTAGTATATCATTTAAAAATATCCTTAAGCTCTTTGTTCCGAGGGCTTTCTGTTTCTTCTTCTTCTTCTTCTTCTTCCTTTTTAGGAGAAAATCATGTTAATTCAGACCTAGTGCAAAATAACATGGTTAGAAATTTGATATTCAGTAGCATGCATCCCTCTTCGTTAAGAAAATCAATTGCACTGACAGCCGCAGTGGTGCCTATAGGCCAGTAGTTCTACGAATGTTCTACTTTGTATACCTTTGTAAGTAAGGCTAATATATAAACAATAAGCTTATCTTTTAAGGGTGGAGTATTTATATAACAAATGATAGATATGGTCATGCCAGGCTATCCTTTCAGCTTTTTGGTGACCCATTGCCAAGCCCGTGAAATTATTTGTTGTGGACGGCATAATGGGTGGTCCATATAACATTAATGAGTATGTTGGCATGTAGGCCTCATTTTTTAACTTACTCCATTAGAAAAGGGAACCCGATGGAGTCTTCAATGTTGATCAATAACAATAAAGGAGTGAAAAAGATTCAGGCATCGTCATGCTTGGACAATGTTTACAAATTCGTAAAGAGTTTAAGCTAGGGTGCCTTGGAAATTAATTCTTCGTATATGTGCTTTAATATCAAGCAAAGAAATGAAGATCAGATCAGGCATTCAACACAATAAATAGACTGGTATCTGGTATCTGGTATCTGCTAGGGTGATGGATAGAACATACTTCTTGCTGCTCTCTTTTTCCATTAATTGGATCAGTAAGCCACCTGTTAAGTAGTAATAACTGGAAAAGCCACATTAATTCAAGAAATCAAAATTTTCAACATTTATAGGTGAGCAATTATTTTCCACCTAGCAACTGTAATGCCATAAACATCTCAACATCATCATTTGTTTGAAAGATCTGGGGTTATTATGTGGTAAAAAAGTTCCAAACATTATAAATCAAACTGATTACTACTTCACATACATAAATTGAATGACATGTATAATCAAAAAATGGTTTTAAATCAAAGCAAATAACAAAATCCAGATGTATCCTCTTCACAATAATTAATACACATCAATGAAATCCTGTCTTACAAGAACAGGACCAGCACACCTGCAATTGCCAAAAACAAATGAATCCAGATACCTACACCATTGATCCTGTAAGAAGAATTTGGGGGGACGTTCCAGGAGCGCTCCCTGCTCCGGTCGTGACGGCAGATGATGGAGAATCTGCTGCAGGGGCAGTTTCAGGAGCAGGTGCTGGAGCTGGGGTTGGAGGTATATCAGTACCAAAGATTGCCTCAGGAAGGAGGACTCTGTCAACTTGATAAATTGCAACGGGATCGGTTGAATGCACACTACTGCTAACTTTAGTTTTAGACCATCCCGAATCAAGGTGCACGGTCCCAGATGTATCTGTGAAGTTCAAAGCATATCCGCCCGCACCAGCAAATGTGCTAACAGGGCTTACTTTGCTAAGGTTCTTGAAATCAGACAAAGAGTAATAATGTGGCAGGGCATGGAAAAGAATGAGCTGCTTGAGCTGGTCTTGAGTGAGGTTTGACAAAGAGGGCTTCTTAAGATTCTTGAAGGCATCGTCTTTTGGTACGAAGATGGTAATGCCTTCATCAGTGTTGTTGGCTTGGTTTTGGAAGGTGTCAATGATTTTAGTGGATTCAAGGTAGTTAAGGAAGGTTTTGAATGGGCCAGCAACGGAAAGTAAATCAGTGAGGTTAACATAAGGAGGTGTTGGTGCTGGTGCTGGGGACGGAGTTAGGGTTGGTGCCGGAGGACTAGCTCCTTTTTGAGCATATGCCAGTGGAGCGCACAAAAACAACAGTGTGCTACTAAACACAATAATCATGGAACACTTCATGGTTTCTCTAAATTCCTGCAAGAACCAATCCCATCATTGATTATATCTCAATTTATGAGCACAAATCTATCAATGGCAAAGCAATGCAAATCCACAGTATGAGCAGAAAAACTTGCTAATAGCTGGAGAAATCAAAACCAGCATTTCAGAATCCACAAAACCCAAGTCACCAAATCTCTATAATGACCATGGAAAGCTAGAACACAATCGCTATGCCCACCATTAACTCAGTCAGACTGGTCGATATCTTTGTCAGCACACTGGGATCCCCATATTATGAATATCTAAGTAGTAGCCTTTAATGTCAGTTTGATGATCTCATGAGTGTGGCAGGGAAAATCGAACATGGCACTTGGAATAGGCTAAGGATTCAGTAAATATTCCTACTAAGAGACTACTTAAACCAAAAACCAGATCTTTATCAGCTCACCTAAAAAATATTTAAAAACAATTACTATAACAAATCATAACATAACCCTCTTTTCTAGGCACATATAAGATGCTAAATTAATTGAGAAAGCTTGGAAGAGGATCTAATGACAGAAATGAAGCAATAGCTGATGACATAAAAAGTGCAAATGCCATATAAAAGAAATAGCATGCATAAATCACGAGGATGAAATACCATACCCAACTTCCTAGATCCCCAGAAGATCAAGCATTCTTGCAAAAACCAAGATCAAAATCCCATTTCAAAGTACACTACGGCTTGCAATTTCCAAGGAAAAAAAAGAAAGAAAGAAAAAACAGTGCAATATTTGCTTTCCTTTCTCTTTCCATCACTAGAAGTTAGTAAAAAGCAAGTCAAAACAAATTATGTTAGACAAAAAAAAAAAAAACACAGCCACACACTGTATTTCAACACAGAGCAAAGAAACAGATCTAGATCAGCTCCTGCTCATCCCAAAAGAAACAGCTAGCACCAACGATACTAATGAAGACCCTTTAGCATATTTAACACACACACACACACACAAGTTACGAAAAGTGCACTGACCTGACAAAGAATTCAGAGAGAAACGGTTTTGGTCAGGGGATACCAAATTGCCAATGCTAATGCTGCAGCACAAAATGGAATGTGTCGAGAATATATAAAGATAAGAGTTTTTAGTAGCAAAGAGAAAAGGCAAAGAAAAGAAATAAGTAGTGTTGAAGTATTATACGATGTACATGGGAATAAGGAGAGGGTGTACATTAGATGTTGTTTTCACTTTCCAAACTTGGATGGTTCTTTTCTTACAGGGCAAAATAAAGCATGCTTTGTTGGAAATCTTTCCAACGTTAAAAAAAAAAAAAAAAAAAAAGCCCCCATGTAGGGTGGCGTTTCTCAATCAAGGATCAACTAATTAGTTTTTTAATTCTGGAGGACACCAGCCTTGCACTCTACCCTATCATTACCAATATCTCTTTCAATTTATCAAGGGAGCTTGTCATGTCATGATAAATTGGTCTTCCAAAGAATTATGATTTCATGGACGGCATTGGTTCTGAAGTCCCTCTACTATATATATATATATATATTTTTTTTTTACCGTGTTTTTCTATATTTTTCCTTTTTAAGTTTATTTTTTAAAATTTGAAATTTGTTTTAATTTCGTATCTTCATTAATTTTTTAAACTAACAGTATTAAATCACACCATTAACACAAATGCGTGCAACACGAGTTAACTTCTTTTTTTTGTCTAAATTTCATTCCTCTATTTTCTTTTTTTTATTTTAATCCTTTTTTTACCGCTTTTAAATAAATGAAGATATATCTCATCATTCTCTATAATAATTAACAAAAAAGGTGAAGATAAAATATTATTTATGGGTTTAATTTATATATATACAATAAGCAAATTTTGAGTATAAAATAAAAAATATATGGTATTTTTTTAAAATATGAAAATAGTTTTAGTTAAATTTTTAAACTTTTGAACAGTATCTCTAATTTTATAATATCTTAGAAAGTCTATTATAATATATTTGTTTTAATTTTATAAATCTCTTAATTTGACTCAAAAATAGGAATATAACTTTTAAAAAAAACACTAACGAATTTATCAATTTGACTAAAATTTGAAACAAAATTTATATTTTTACTTTTGAGTCAAATTAAGAAATTGTCAATTCAAAATAAGTAGACTATAATAAACTCTTTCGAGGTATTATAAAATTATAAATACCATTTAAAATTAAAAATTCACCTAGAACTCTCTTTATATTTAAAAAAAAAACTATAAATATTAAATTTTATACATAAAATTTGGTTACCGTTATATAAATAAATTTAAACTCGTAAAGATATTTTGGATAAAAAATATTTTTAGCTTCATCTTTTTTTTTTTTTTTGTAGAGAGAATGACCGGATATATTTTTATCATTTTTTTCAAAATTTATTTATCCGAATTCAATAAAAAAGTAAGATTAAAAAAATGAGAGATGAAATTAAGACAAAAAAAAATAAGATTAAAAAAATGAGAGATGAGATTATGAAAAAAAAAAATCGAGGGATGAGATGAAAACAAAAGAAAAAACAAGTTTCCTCGTGTCGCAATCATGTCGAGCTAAAGGTGTGATTTAACACCACGGTTAGCCCACAGAGTTAACAAAGAGACAAAACTAAAATAGAAACCAAACATAATGGAATGGACTTAAAATAAAGAAAGAATAAACAGACACGATAAAGACAAAAAAAAAAAAAATTAAGGACTTTTGCAACCATTAACTCCATTGATAGTAGAGAGAAAGGCTTTTTTGATGGCCAACCTTTCAAAAACAATTTTGTTTTAGTGTCCAATCGTTTATTTCTCATAGTTGATTACCCAAATTTTGATTTTTATTTGTTTGGTACCCGAGTTCAACCGAATCTCGATTTTGCCGACGTGTTCGATGAGATCTACCACATGGAAGTCAAAAAATATCACATGGTAGTCAATCCTACTACGTCAACAACTCACACTATCGTGTAGCTATAGGCACTCAAAAAAAAAAAAAAAAAAACAAAGTTTAGGCATTAAAATAGAAAAAAATTAAAGATTACCAAATACGTAGTTTTTTTAAGAAATTTACTATCTCGAGATTGCAAAATTAGTCCAACAATTTCTAATAAATATTTTTCATATCATACTCATGACATTTTTTTCACTTATCAATGGTAATTTTTAGTGCTCGTATCAATTAAAAAGTTACTTTTTAAAAATTCTAAACCCTTTGACATATCTAGACAAATTTTATATTGTGTCATTTAACTCAAATATATATATGGTTCAATTAAGATTAAATTTAAAAAATAAAAGACATATAAAATCCAATTATGATTGTCATTTGTAGAACAAATAGTTGGTTAATGAAAAAATTTACAAAAAATAAAAATTGCTTCCTCCGTCTAACGAGAAAACTACTTCCTCTGTCTAGGGAGAAAATTGACCAACGTATCATAGGTGACATAACCTTGTTGTAGCCAATAACGTGTTGAAGTTTTTATAGTAAGTTGAGATGGGACATAATCGATATAAATAAGTTTAATAATCAAGCTTTTGATTTGATCATTTAAAGGGTAATATTTTTTGTAACGATGACGATAATGATAGAGATAATAAATAAATTATGAATTAAGCTAAAAAATAAATGCATTATTAAAATTACTTTATCCAATTAGCATAATAATAAGAAATTATGCATGTATGTAATTGCTAATTTTTTTAGAATTTAAAATTATATGGCTTTTAATATTAAAAATAAAGTTTTAAGAGATTATATATATATTATGAAAGCATAAGAAATGCATGAAATCTATTTATAATAAAGAAAACATATATCAAAGTATAAGAAGGAGATAAATATTTGGTTTATATGACTTTTAATATCAAAAGGAAAAGTTTATATATATATATATATATATTATGAAAGCACAAGAAATGCATGAAAGTTATTTATAATAAAAAAAATATTTAACATTAAAAATTTAGTTTTCTCAAATATTCACTACAAATAAAACATATATCGAGCATAAAAAGGAGATAAATATTTGGTGTATATGACTTTTAATATCAAAAAAATTTGAGAGATCATATATATATATCGGAGCATAGGAAAGGGATAAATATTTGGTATGAGAAAACTAAAATAAATTTTTTGAGAAAACTATATTTTTGATGTTCGATCATTGATATATGTTTTTTATTTATTTAGGTGCTCAATCTTTAATTTTTTTCTATTTGAGCGCTTATAGATATCTAAAAGTATGATGTACTCGACGTGGCAAAGTTGACGAGTCATGTGGTATTTTTGATCGTCATGTGATAGATTTAGCCGGACATGTTAGCAAAATCAAGATTCGAGTGAATTCGGACATCGAAATAAACAAAAAATCAAAACTTGATAGTCAATCATGAAAAATCAACAATTGGACACCAAAAAAAGCATTTCTCTCTAAATGGTAATATAATAATAAAATAAAATAAAAATATTATTTAGGAATCAACTTGAGAATTAAATGATAGTTGGAAGATAAGTATGTTTTTTTAATTATTTTTCTCTAAAAAAGGTTTTAAGCATATTTATATGTTATGGATTTTCTTCTTTAATATATATATATATATATATAAAAGATATTGGAATAAAACTTAACCTTAACTGAAATTATTGATTGTCTAGTCTTTAGTTACTATGCATTTAATGTATCAATCGGAAAAATGTTAAGATTAAGGAAAAAATTACAATACGAAAGGCATTAATAATCAATCTAACCCTTTTTATAGACATAGCATCCAAATATTCTTATGTAATTGTGTTGAATTTTTAGTAATACACTAAGCATGTAGACGTTTTCTTGTTAAAAGCGCTTAGCCGATAAGTAACATGGTAGAACTAATCGTTCTATTCAGAAAGAATTGCAGAACTGATTGCTTTATTGAGAAAGAATTGCAGAACTAATTTTAATCCACTAATAAATGTTGTTATTAGAAGAAAGCTATATTAAATCAATTTGTGTAATTTTTTAATCACACGAAAT